ACTTAACCATTTCCCAAGTACTCTCAACAAGAGTATGGCAAATTAAAATGGTGTTTTATATATGTGTCCATCCCAGACATTTCCAACTATGCTGTTATGCAGTCTAAAGGATATCAAAAGCAAGGTCAAAATTATTTTTCACTGACATTCCCAGTCTTGAAGTTCCAGTATTTGTGTTTTAGGGATTGAAAGGATTTTTTTTGCGGGGGTGAAATCACAGGGATATTTTCTGAATGTTTTATACCCTTGTTATTTTATTGTCAAATGCAACTATTTTCTACTTTAGAGACTTTATTACAAAAATTTTTCTATAGTTTTTCTGGTTAAATCATTTTATACTTAATTATGACCTGGAGCTTATGCCTCAACTTCTTTGAACTCCATTTTTCAACTTGCTGTTTTCAGGTTAAGAAAAATGTCGCATAAGTATTATATTTGAAATTCCATTAATTGACACCACTAAGGTAACAGCAAGTGTTAACATGTTCCAGATTATACCTTAACACCAGACTATGTCTTCATTGGGTGAGGAATAATAAGTAACACAGAATAGAAGCTCTTTCTATAAGCTGTTACTCAGGCAACAGTTGGCTCCAAGCAGATATATAGCACTCTGAACAGTGTCAATAACACAGACCAACTTATAATGGTCATTTAAGTTTCCTGGTACTCAAGGTTACCCTCAATTCAGGGTTTTTTATATAACCAAAAAACTAGCATTCTAAATAATGTTACATGAAAATAGGTGGAATATAAGTATTTTCATGGAAGTTCTCAATTGTTGAATGGTTTGAGTCTTCTGGAATAACTAAACTATTTTTCTTAAAATGCTCCCATAGGAAAATACTTGGAAGGCAAAGAATTTGCTTGAAATTCTGAGAGAGGGGAAGATTTATTTTGAGGACCACTCATTACAGCCCACTTTCATCACCAGTTTTTATAAAGTGTAATGTAGGGGTCATCTAATGTCAATGCAGAGGCCCAGTGAAGGCAAATGAAGGATCTAGGTAGGGAAATTGAACCTCCAATATGCCAGATCTAGGTAAGGCTATGGGTGGGAATTCCCCCCTAAAATATCTATTGAGAACCAAATTATTAATGAACACAATAAATTAGAGAAGTTACCAGGGCTTGCTTATAGTTTGCTAGCTTTGTTACCTCAAATATTTGCTCTGGCTTTTTCCCTATCCATAAAATGTGGAGGGATCATAATACTTTTCAAGTTGGCCATTATTTTCCTCATAACAGATGAGGAAGCAGAGCCCTAAGCACACAGATGGCTTGACAAAGTTGCCTATTATTGCGGAAGTTTGATTCGAACCCTGCACCTCTTATTCTGTTACTGTTGGATTCAACTAACTATTCCTTTCTCCCCTTAATACCATCTTTCAAAAAGGCCCCAAACTAGATATGTAATGACGAGTACCTCTGTACTACCAAGGAAAACATCTGGGTTATCAGATTTGTGAAAGGTACCACACTGCTGGGGTTAACAGTATGGAACTTTGGGTTTGAGAAAAATCGGCCTTTTCACTTATGTTGCTTGGGGCAAGTTACTTAACCTCACTAAACTTCACTTTCCTTGTAACATGTACTAAATAAGTACTTTTGAGGTACAGTAGGTCCTTAATGTTTCATTTAATGTTACAGTGATGAGATGCGACAGGAACTCAACTCTTGTTTATATCAATAGCCTATGGTAAAATTAGTTTTGTGATACATTATTTCACTTAAAAGTTGGGGAACTTCTCGAGAACTCTAGGTGAGGACATTTACTGTACTGGGAAAATGCTGGCTCATTGTAAGTAGCTAATATTAACATTTCACATCAAATTTTTGTAAGAAAACACCATTAAAAAGATACAGATCAGCCCTAACTGGTTTGGCTCAGTGGATAGAGCATCAGCCTGCGGACTGACGGGTCCCAGGTTCGATTCTGGTCAAGGGCATGTGCCTGGGTTGCGGGCACATCCCCAGTAGGGAGTGTGCAGGAGGCAGCTGAATCGATGTTTCTAACTCTATCCCTCTCCCTTCCTCTGTAAAAAAAAATCTATAAAATATATTTTTTAAAAAAAAGATACAGATCATACTTGCATCAGTTACCCATTATGATCTAGAGCAGTAGTCCGCAACCTTTCGGACTTAATGGATCACCAGTTGGTGACCGTGGACCACTGGTTGATGACTGCTGCTCCAAGGTTTTCCTTAAACCAGTGGTTGCCAACCTTTCAGACCTCACGGACCACTAGTGGTCCATGGACCGCCGGTTGGTGACCACTGATCTAGAGCCCTACATAGATGACACCTTTCCCCCAAGAAAAAAGGTAGGTTTGCCTAATAACCTTCAATGAAATATGGATTCTTCTACTTGATAAAGGTAAGTATAGAGGAAACAAAGCTGATTGATATGAAAGAAAAATGTGCTGTTGTGCTTCTTAGTATTAAAGTGGTTCCTGTCTTAATACTTGTCTTATAACAGGTATGCTATTTACATTACTCAAAAGGCATACCTACTATATGAAGTTTTCCTTTTTACAGTTCATGCTTGATTGCCTGTTGGCATATTATTACACTTTATACTTGTCTTTAAAACAATTGCATTTAAGTTTTAATTGATACTCTCTTCTTTAAAGATCTTGGCCCTAGAAACTTTTTTTTTTTAGTAGTCCAAAGGTTTGAAATAAAGGGTTAGCAATCCAAAATATAGTTGATTCTCATTTCCTGGTCATTTGTGGACGCAGTGTTGAAAATTTTGAAGCACCTGATATACAAAAATACAATGCTCTGCTTTGTTTTCATACTGTACACAAGTATTCTTTTCATGATTTAGTGCCTACTTTTTTTTTCAATCTTTGTGTGCTTTTTATTGGAGATTTCCCTGTTTAATATGAGGGAAGTGCTGCCTAATGTTCCCAAACACAAGAAAACTGATGTGCCACCGTGAGTGGTGTTGTCTGAGAGTTAAATGTTAAGAAATCAACAATATATCACATAAGGTGTCTTTAAACACACATAAAACAAGGTTTTATATTAACTGGTTGACTGAAATGTGACTAGAGGCTTATAGGAACCAGTATTTCCCCTAGGTACAGTTTTATTCTTTTTAGTGACTTTCTAGAACAGCCCTGGGCAAACTACGGCCCGTTTGAAATGAATAAAAAAGACCGTACCCTTTTATGTAATGATGTTTACTTTGAATTTATGTTAGTTCACACAAACACTCCATCCATGCTTTTGTTCCGGCCCTCCGGTCCAGTTTAAGAACCCATTGTGGCCCTCGAGTCAAAAAGTTTGCCCACCCCTGTTCTAGAACATAGCTACTACAAATAACAACTATACCTTCATACCCCTTCCCTCTGAGATTAACAAAAGATTTATCCTATACAAAAAGCTATGCCTGCCTTATTATACTCTTAAGACATAACAAATAATTGCTTAAACAAGATGGAAAATAAACCAAAAGCAGGTATACCCCAACTTTGAAATGCCCCTAAACACATTCCAACACTAAATATTACCTCCATTATTTTGACCTTGAAAGTTTGTTCTCCATTAATAAGAACTTTAAGATGACTTAAAATTTAGATGCTAGTTAGCATACGTTATCATCTTAAAGCTAAATATAGGTACTGCTAGAGACCACAGACTAGCTATTTCCCTGGGGTGTTTTATATAAGTCCTTTGGTTAAGATTCTTACATATGTTAGACCAGTGGTTCTCAATCTGTGGGTTGCATGTGACCCCTTTGGGGGTCGAACGACCCTTTCACAGGGGTCGCCTAAGACCATCAGAAAACACATATATAATTACATATTGTTTTTGTGATTAATCCCTATGCTTTAATTATGTTCAATTTGTAACAATGAAATTGGGAGTCACCACAACAGGAATAACTATTAAAGGATCACGGCATTAGGAAGGTTGAGAACCACTGTGTTAGACCAATAGTAAGCCATTTGCCCTCAAATGTCATCTATATAATAAAAGCCTAAGCGACCATTACGGTGGAACAACCAGAATGACTGGTCGCTATGCTGTGCACTGACCACCAGGGGGAGCACAGCTCAGCCAGAAGATGGGCTCATGGCTCACCTGAGCACAACAGCAGTGACAGGAGCCTTTCCCTGCCTCCTCTGCAGGTGGGCGGTAAGAAGTGAGGAGTCCTGGACTGTGAGAGGGCACAGGCAATGACTGGTCGCTATGCTGTGCACTGACCACCAGGGGGCAGATGCTCAATTCAGGAGCTGCCCCCTGGTGGTCACTGTGCTCTCACAGGGGGAGCACAGCTCAGCCAGAAGATGGGCTCATGGCTCACCTGAGCACAACAGCAGTGACAGGAGCCTTTCCCTGCCTCCTCTGCAGGTGGGCGGTAAGAAGTGAGGAGTCCTGGACTGTGAGAGGGCACAGGCTGGGCT